CCGACCTGCGGAGCGGGCCACTTACGCCCGAGTCCCCGGGGGACCGCGGACAGGGCCGGAAGAAGGGGGTTTACGGGGCGGCCGACGTGATCCCCGTGGCGACCGCTGGGTGCCGTCCGTGAGGAGGCGCAACACAGCGGCGAGATGGTAGAGGAGGGACGATCCTGGCCGTGGAGATGACCGTCCTGCTCCTGATGAACCGGTGGGCGGTCGGGCTGGCGGCGCCGGTCCAGGCGGGGGCCGTGGTCGACGCGGGCAGCGAGGTGATGACGATGGGTGTGGGCCTTCACAATTGGAGCAACGGGGAACCGCCTTGGCGGTGCAGGCGCTGGCTCTGTGGGCTGCTGCTGCTTCTTGTCTCTGTCACTACTCCCCCCACCCCCTCCTCTCCCTCGGCTCTCCGCCAAGTCACGTGAAATAACTACTTCCGGCACAGATAAAGGCGGTAAGATTTGATAGCAGTCGACCAATCAACTGAGGGAATAGGGAATGGAATAAGATTTGAATTCAGACAACTCTTTGAAGCAGCCTAATTATTAATCGTGCTTCCCATAGGAACTCAAAGTGTCTATTCTTCACACATATATCGCAATATATTTTTGTATTTACAGAGATGTGATTAACAGAAAATGCACCATGCTACTTTGATTGCTACATCCTATAATGTTGCCATGACAACCGTAAGAAAAAATTACCAGATGAGAGCTGACTGTGGTGGCTTACAAAATTTATTCAATGCAGCTGTCCTAGATATTCATTATTATTATTATTACTAATAATACTTAACCATGTCTATTACAACAATGAAATCACGGATATCAAACTCAAAGATGAGTGATGGTAGTGTATCAATTGCATAAAATGAATAATCACCAAACACATGTTTCAGTATTTGTAATGCGTATACTTGGTAAATTTGTAGAAAAGAGGGCCTGTACCACCATGGATGTGGCTATGCTATTACCAAAGAAGTTGCGAAAGCCAGCCACATTTGGGAAGGAAGTACTGACTCTTAAAGGACCTGATATGGTGCGAAAGTTAGTAGTGCCTGGCCCAGAACCAAATGTTCACCCAATATATTTTGATAAAGTCGAGTTTTGTCGTCTTAGGAATCAATCAAAGGTTTGTTGCTACACAAGAAAAATAGTTTTTAAAAAAATCTGATTTCTTTTTTAACTGACTATGAATTAACAGGTTTTGACCCCAGCAGAGAAGTTAAATCAACAGGAAGCTGCTGAAGCTGCTCGTCAAAAATTAGAAAAAGAGAGTGCTGAGAGGAAAGAAAACCTGAAATCTTTTGAAAAGCACAGAATAAAAAGTGTTCGTCTTGCGGAGGTGAGTACCATTTGGTCTTTTAAGCACACAACTTTATGAAGAAACTTGGAAAAGCATTTTTTAACCAGCTCGAGGTAGATGCTGAAAGGAAAGCAGCCCACTTACTTGCAAGAGCAAGAGAACTACAGCAAGAATCCCAGGATGAAGTAAAGAGTGCAAATAGGCTTATAATCAGCACCAAGTGCCATGCAATTCGGTCTGCACAGATAGCTGAAAAGCAGCTCATTCAGTAAGGTTCCTTTGTACTCATTTACCGTATTTCAAAATATCTTGTCCAACAATCTGTTAAAAATTAAAGGAAAGAACTAGCAGCAGAGGAGCAGCGTCTAGACAAAATGATGGAGCAGCAAAGAATAATTGGGCTGAAGGAAGAGGAAAAACGCAAAGAGGAGGAATCTATTAAAAATCAACGCTACTTGAAGGCTTTATTACATCAAATTCAGGAAAATGAAACAGAGCGCATACATGAAGCAGAACGGAAAGAAGAGGTGAATTCAAATCCAACCAAACTACACATATGCAATTACAAAACAGTTTCAAAATTCATTAGATTAATTTCCTTTTGTTTCCAGGAAAGCCGTTTGATGAATGAAGCTGCTATGCAAGTGCAATTAGATGAGCTTCAAGCATACCGCAACAAGCTTGAGGAACAAGCAAGAACACGTCAATATTTGTCACAAGTCAATGAGCAGCTTAAATACTTCCAGGACTTGGAAAGAGAGGAAAAGCGGCAAGCTGAACTAAAAGTAATTTTCTGCCATCATCTGAAGTAGTTGAAAAAATTGATTTGAAATGTAATACAAAACTAAATTTAATAGGTGCAGAAATTCATGGCTGATAAAGCAGCACGAGAAGCAGCACTTGAGGAGGAAAAGAGAAAAACAAAACTTGCAAAAGAACTAGAAATTGCTCGTTTACGAGCTGCCCAGGAAAGGATGTCAGATCTCAAATCACAACAAGATGAACTGAAGGCATTGAGAACACAAGATGAAGTGAGATCAATAACAGTCTTAATCTGGCTAAGAAAATTACCTTAATATTAACTAAGCAATTCTTTTCAAGGTTGAACGCGAATGGCGGAGAAAGGAAAAGGAGGAGGCTATGAAAAAAGCCAAGGAAGAACATGTACTTAAGCTAGCAAGACAAGATCAAATAGTCCACCGCCGTAGTATGCAGGCTGTAGAGATAGCGAGAGAGAAGCAACAGTTTGAGCGAATAATAAGATCCCAACGATTAGATGCTGAGCGAGAAAGATTAGAACTGATCAAAAAGCAATCTGTAAGTAGAAATTTACTGTGCAAGACTAATCACTATCTAATTTATCTAGAAAGAAATATTTCAGTGAAGTTATTTACTCTTCTACTATTCTTAAAACTTCAAATATATTGGGAAGTTTAACTAAATTTTTCTGTTAAGGGTTTGGAAGCATACCGGACTGCCATACTGGAGCAAATAAATGAAAAGGAAAGGGAAAGGATTCAAATGAGAAAATTGAAGTTCCAAGATGGAGAAGCGCTGCGAGCTGAAGAGGAAATGAGAAAACGAGAACTTAATCTCACAATGAAACGTAAACTTGAAGAGCTGAGGTATGATGAACTGAATTAGTGAGGCTACCAGTGGCTGAATGACATTGATAATGTTATTTTTCAACAACTTACACTTTTTCTTCAAACAGGGCAAACAAAGTTCCAGATACTTACATAAAGGAAATAGAGCGTCAATTAAAGCTCACTGACATAAATTGACTTCACTGATTTTGAGCATGATTCAATTGATTGTATGAAGAATAAATTTGGGTATGATGAAGAAAAGTTTATAGTGAGGCGGCATAGTAGTTGCACAGCAATTAATTGTAATCCTAACATTCTCCTTCAGCACAACCTGCAGGATAAGTACTGTATCATAATTTTCACTGAGAAACCACTGTATTGACTTATCAGATGAGACACTTTGTACCAGGTAGATTGTGCTTGAGGTTGAGTAATCAAGCTGCTTGGCATATGAAACATACACAGTTTTCAATAAAATCTAAGTTACCAGAAAGAAAAGTCATTTTAATTGATATACTGATTTTATTTACACATAGATAGATGATTAAAAACAACATCAAATACTGGTAAGAATGAAAACACAGATGAAATTATTGATATTTTAAAACCAAAGGCCAAGATAAGTTTCAATCAAAACTCTAAAGATGTTTCTTTGAAATAATTAGATTTACTTTTATTTGAAAATAAAGAGCGAACTAGATACTTAAACATTAAGAAAATATAAGCTAAAATAATCAGGAAAATACAACATTACCTCCCTTCAATAGACAGAAATATCTATCCAAGTTAAAAGCTACAGAGGTCTTAATGCTCCTCTCCCAAAATCTTACTTAAGTTATCACGGAGAATCTGCAATTTCATCCTTGTTTGAGTGTCCAAGGATGCCCCAATGCCAACTGGACATGGGCCCTCAGTAGGCTGGATGGAGTAAACTTCCTACAAAAGCAAACGGAGTTTGTAAAAGTTTCTCAGACATACAAAAGTAAAGAAGGAAAATTTAAAAAAACAGCAACATAATTTTTGGATTTACTTACAGTTCCATTATTAAGGGGTAGGCAGATGTTTGGTTCTGTAATACTAGTTGTCATCATCAATGGGCTACCAGTTAATGAAATGGCCATTTCACCCTGACGGGCATAACGCTTCAGAGGCATGGGACAGTATGGATCACATTTAGGAGTAACAGCTGACAAAGTTCTGTCTGGCCTGTTCATAGGTGTCTGAAAGAACACAGGAAAGAGAGATGGTGAGCGGTGAGACGGTAAGCAATTTAACATGACTTATGACTCTATTGAGGAGAATTAAAATACCTGGTAATCTGTAATGAATTTGGACCTGTTATCTCTTGGCTGAGAAGAACTCCGAGTTAAGCGACGAGTGGAGGATAAATCTGGAAAAAATAACCTTTTGATATATTGAGAAATGGTATAACATAAGATAAGGAAAGTATTGAATTCCTGACCTGGCTGTATAGCTGACACATCAGTGAGTGAGCTAGTTCTTGTCCGTGTATGTTTAGTTTTGGCCCGAGATTGCCTTGTAGTAGATTTAGGCTCAGGTGGTGGCATAGGTTTGAATGCAGTGCTTGTTACTATACCTTTGCTTTTAATGGTTGATGTCAGAGTTGCATCAAAAGAGTCAATAGAGTCAATGGAATCTTTCTGACGCTGTAAAGAAAATATGATGAGAAGATCACAAATTTATAAACTTATAGGACAAGAAAGTCAAACTAACTTACATTACTGATTGCGCCTGGCGGAAGGTTTGCTTCCTCGGAAGGAATCTGGCCCAAGACCAACATGAGATTGCGGTCTAAGCAGTCACTCTCTTCTTGCATTTTTAAAAGAAGTTTATGTTTCCGACCTTCCACTGAAACGAATGGAAATATGGTTTTTAAATTTTAGACCGAAAAAATTGGAATGTAATTTTTCTTTAAGCTACAAACAAAATCTCCTAGCAGAATTATTTCTAAACTTACATTCATTTTCGAAATCCAGCAGCCACACATCCCAGTATTGATCTTCCTGCTTCACTTTGGGACTAGCAGCATCTTTCTGTTTGGCTGTAGTGCCTTTTTTCGCTCTTGTTCGAACCATCGCTCCTAGAATTAAAGAAGTCTCTGAGTTGTCGGAACAAACAAAGCGTAAATCAACAAATGTCCAGAAAGCCGACGAGGGTTATGTTCAGTAACGCATTTCTTTAAGACCGGAGAGAGAGAATGGTGTGCGAGTAAGGATTTTTACTGAACAGAACGCAGATTCACGGTCAAAGATAAATCAATAATTACTTACAAAAAAATAGGAGAATATGACAGCAAGATATTTTGTTGTTTTCTTGTCCCGGTTCGGTAGGTCGGTGTCCGGTCCGATCTGCAACCGCCAAAATTTCGTTTGAGATTTGTGGGGGGTCGATGGTGTTTTGTCTTTTCGACCGCGTCGCCTTCTATTTACTCACATCCAGCAGGTGACAGCTAGCAGACGACCGAAAGCAAAAAAACAGAATTTAGCAACTAGCAGCAGAAAATCAGTAGATGACGGTGATGATGGAAGAAAGATAAGTTAGAAACAATAGGAAGATAATATCCACTATTATACACCTGTCTCAAATATTTTTCTGTGCGAAGTTTCGTGTTATCCCTGCTTGGATGCACTGCATTATTGCTTTGTTCGCCGTTAGTTGCCGGAACTTTTTGTTAGGTTGGGTAAAACACTCATCAGAAATTCGCAAATATCCTCTTAAATACATTATCAACAAAAATTACGTAATATCACAACCATGTCCATCTTAAGCAATCCACTAGAAGAAGTCAACCGCTTTGGAGTGTCACTAATTGTTTCACTTCAGAATGCGTAAGTCATTCTGTAGCAATCATTTCAAAAATTCGATCAATATTTCATGTAAACTCTTGTTATTATTTTAATTGTTTTTGTGTCACAGATTTCCAGGGTGGGATGATCTGTTCCATGTTATCACTGAACTTGGAAACTCTACTCATTCCTTCACACTTCTCATTCCATTAGCGGCAGCTCTTGATTTGCAACTGGCCTGTGATTTATTGGTTGTTTGCATTGTAGGAGAATGGTCCAACACTTTGCTAAAATGGTACAAAAATTTAAAGATTGTCTTGAATCAATCAGAGTCTACATGCTTCTCTTCTGATATTTTCTTGCTCTTTCCTTGAAGGTTTTTGATGGAGGGCAGGCCATACTGGTGGGTCAGAGAAACTGAAATTTATGAGAAGTATGGACTCACTCTTCCAGTATTGCAGCAAACATCCCACACATGTGAAACAGGGGCTGGTTCACCCTCTGGTCATGTTATGCATGCTGCTGTTGTTGGGTTTGTTCTTGCTAAGTGGCTCATTGCCAAGTATGAAAGTCGCTCAAAGTAAGGTCCTTTTTCCAGTAAGCTGATTTACCTTTAACAAGTTGTTTGCTTCCTTTTTCTCAGTTCTGTTTTATGCTTTCAGGTTTCCCAGACCTAACGCACCTCTCTATCGGAAATTGGTTTGGTCTCTCTTTGCAATGATGCTAATCATTGTTGCCCTCTCAAGAATGTACATTGCAGCCCATTTCCCTCACCAATGTCTATTGGGTGCTGCCCTCGGTAGGTTCTGATTTTTCTGAATTTTTAAAATATTTTCTAGGTTGATTATCAATGACAGGAAATATAACTAGTCATGAAATGTTCACCTCTCAGGCATTCCGTTAGCTTGGGCCTTGACTTCTGAAAGCAGCAGTGTGTGTCGCTGGTGGAAAAATGCTAGCCGTGGAAAATTGTTGGCAGCTGCTTTACTACTATCACTTCTGGCATTTGGAGGATACTGGCTGCAAAAAGCCTTAGGCATAGACCCACAGTGGTCAGTAAAGCTAGCCTTTAAATGGTGCAAGTCTGAACGAAATCTGCATGTTTCAACAACCAACGTATTTTCACTAGTTCGTGATTGTGGCTCAGCTTTTGGTTTTGCCATTGCATGTCCATTCTCTAAAAGGTAAGCAGCAAGATTAAGCATTTATGTAGACAACTATTTTGCCACTAAAATTAATCTGTACCTTGTCTTTTAAACCTAAACACATCTTTTTGTTTCAGACTAATGAATAAACGTCTAAGCATTCCCTTTGGAATACTCTTGGCCCTTCTTCTTAATGTGGCTGTTCGTAGTGTTCAGAAATCCATCCCAACAGCAAATGTGTTCACTTTTTTCTCAGCTCACTTTTTCCTTCATGCCAGCCTCCCACTTCTTGTTCTTCTTTATTTTCCCAAACCTAGCGGTGACCCTGAAAGGACCAGTTCTGAAAGCAACACAAGACGGACTTCAACACGGCAGTCAAGGGCCAAATATGATTAACTTGTTCCTAAATTTTGTTAAGTACAGAATTCCATATGTTATACATTCCGATTAAGCCAAAATCTTTAATATAATCCCAGTTTGTACTAAATTTTTGTGTGTGATGAGGAGTGTGGCACAAATAAAAATGTGGTTGAGTTCAATGTATCCTACATTTTGTTAAAGGTATTTATAGATGTTAAAAATAGGTGTTAAAATATGTTTATTGTTGTGTAAAATTCTTGATGAATTTAATGACTTTGCTTTAAAAGCTTTAAAATGTAACTTCAGATACTTGGAGGAAATAAGCAAAATTTTTTTTTTAACTTTATGCATTTCTAGTGCAAAGTCTGTTACTAGTTTTGTTTCAATGTGTGTTGTTGTATATTATGAGTGTTATGTGCTAGTCAAAACTGTTTGAAATTTGATGTAAACATTCCATTTTAAAATCTGTGTTTCTTTTTTTACAAAAAAAAAATCACCTATGCGTATACCAATCGT